GCAGTGGCCGTGGTATGGTTCTGCCTGTCCTCGCCTGTCCGTGAAGCTGGAGCTCACCCACGGGTGACAGGGACAGGGATGGGTGGGAGCATCCACAGCCAGAGCTGGGGTCTCCGCAGGGAAAGCGCAGCCATGGCAACCCTGCTCTCTCCTCCCTGTAGTACCAAGGGACCGTGACGCTGGAGTCCTTCTCCATTCTCCTGGCCCAGCTGCTGGGACGCAGCCTGGGCATGAGCTACGAGGACTCCCGAGACTGCCGCTGCCCCGGGCGCGTGTGCCTCATGAGCCCGGACGCCTTGTGAGTTGGTGGGGTCCCAATCCGGGGCGGATGAGGTGGGTGGGCAGGGATGTGCTGGGGATGATCGGGGTCCCAGCAGCTGCAAGGTCAGTGTGGTGGGGATCATGGTGGGGTGTCCTCTCATCAGAGGTGTCCTTGATAAATTTCATTCTGTTGCAAAAATTACACCAAATTAGAAATATCTGCTTTTATTCCTTTAAGAAGGAAAAAAAGAATAACTAAATGAGTGATTCAGTGCTTAACTGGAAAAAAGAGACCTTTTCTCTCAAAAAGCAAGATATTTCTGAGTGCTTCTCAGTTTCTGTTAATAATGCATTGCAAAATCAGGTTTGATAAGTGAACTGAAAGACACCCAGGGGACCATAGCACCTTGGGCCAGCATCTGAGCAAGTCCTTGAATTGCCCAGAGATTTTTAGCGAGTGAACAGGGGTAAATGTGTTAACGTATAAACAGATAATTACTTTATTTTAGACGTTTCAGTGGGGCAAAAGCCTTTAGCAGCTGCAGCATCAGGGACTTTGAAGCCTTCCTGAAGCACGATGGAAGCGCCTGCCTTTTCAATAGACCCAGCTTGACCGGACTGTCCTACCAGAGAGCGACCATCTGTGGCAACGGTGTCGTGGAGCCCGGCGAGCAGTGTGACTGCGGGGTGGCGGAGGTGGGTGCTGCGGGAATTATGGCTAAATATGTACATTTGTCCTGTTCGTATCTTTAGAATAAAGAACCTTTAAAACTAAGGGCATAGCTGAAGTAGAGGCCAGCCCAAGAAGGATTACATTGGGTTTTAGATTGTTTCTATGATGGCATCGATCTGACAGCAGTTTTGCCTGCTTTCTTCTGCTAGATATTGCCCAATTGTAGCTTTTGGGGGAGAAAAAGGAAGTGGAGAACTTCTGACAGTAAAAACCTCTGGGGGAACAAAGAAGTACAATAACGTGGTTTTGCGATGTGTCCCCAGGCATGCTTGAAGGATAAATGCTGTACTGAAACGTGTCAGTTTAAGCCGGGAGTGAAATGTTCCTCTGGATTATGCTGCAATGAATGTCAGGTAAGGCATGTTTTTATACTTATCACAAAATCGTTATTTATTTTTGGAGAAATAGTGTTTTCCCAGGCTGAAGGATGGAGACAAACTTACTGCTGTGCCATCATTCCTGGGGAAGGGCTTTCCAGTTCAGCTCCCTGAAACCCTCGGGAGGAATGGGGGAAGATTGCCTTGGATGGTGTAACGTGTGTGGGGTCCTGAGGGAGTGGGAATGTGTCTCAGGACAGCGTTGGGAGGGGCCGTGTGGGGCCTGAGAGGGGGGGAGCAGGCTGGGGGGGATGTAAGGATGGCGAGAAGAGTCCTTTCTGCCTCCTCTGCCAGTTCAAGCAGAAGAACTGGCAGTGCCGTCCTGCCGCCGATGTGCAGTGTGACCTGGCCGAGTTCTGCAATGGGTCCTCCGCGTCCTGTCCCCCCGACCTGTACGTGCAGGACGGGCACAGCTGTGAGCATGGCACCGGCTACTGCTACAAGGGACGCTGCCAGTCTCCGGACCTGCAGTGCCGAAGGCTCTACGGGAGAGGTAGCGGAGGCTGCTCTAGTTGCACTGGTGCCACTGGTACTGCCTGAGTTGCAGGAGGTGGCCGCAGTAGGAATGATGCTCAGTTTGTGTCTTTGCTCTTTAATGCGCCGATATCAGGTCGGTCTCATTGTGTCTTTTTAGCCTGGTTTCGGTGCAAATGAGGGTTTGTGGTTGGTTGCTAACTCATTTCTGATACTTCCCCCATGAGCCCGAACCCAATTTCAAGCCCCTGTTGAAGCAGGAGGGTTTTTAGGGACTGTGCTTGCAGGTATCTGATCCAAGCGATGAGGCACAGTGCTCTCCAAGACTTGTCAAGCCTTGTGTCCCGACTTCTCCTCACGTGGGTGGTTCCGGGGCAGGAGGGAGAGCAGAGACAGCGGTGCCTGGGAAGGGTGGGTGCGGTATGTGAAAGGAGGGCAGAGAGAGGGAGTGGGGCACCCGAGGAGGGAAGGACACGGCTTTAGGAAAGCATTTCAAGCTCAGTTTTGACTCTAGTTAATGTGCACTTCAGTAGCACATAGGTCTCCCAGTTCTTCAGGGATAACAATGAAAAACAACAACAACAAAAAGCAAGTTGTTATCTGTGAGCGAACTTAATCAGAGGGCTAACCTACTGTTTGCTAACCCTGTGTTTCTGGCATTCTGCACTGCTGAGGGTTTGGCAGTTCAGGGACAGGTATTATGTTTTCTCTAATTAGTGAACAATATCTATGTTCTGCTGTGAACAAGATGAAAAATTAAGAAGTTAATAGATACCATAATATGTCCCTTTGTGTTCCTTTAAATGATAATAAATATCATTGCTAAACTTGTAGGTTCAAAAAATGCTCCTGTGGCTTGTTACGAGGAACTCAATAGTCAGCGGGACAGATTTGGACACTGCGGGTTCCAGCCCAGACAAGGCTATAAGTCCTGTGCTTGGAGGTATGCTCCGGGGGAAGGACACTTGCTCGGCTCAAAATCCATATTTAATTGGGACTTTACTGACAAGGAAAGTATCAAGACTCCAGCTGACAGTAAGCTTTGTGAAGCAATAAATAGACAGTTAGGCGTGAGTGCTCCTTGTTAGTAATATGGCATCTCCCCTTAGGTTGCAGATTGTCTCTTGGACTTCCCAATCCTGCTTCTTTTTTGGTTTTGTTATCATGCAGTGCTGCAGATTTGTATTGTGCTGTTTAATGTTTCGAGTGTTTCATCAGGTAGCATATATACTTATGTATATGTGTGTGTGGGACACATATCCTATGCAAATTGATTTTATAGGAATCTCAGATGCGGAAAGTTAATCTGCACGTACCCATACAGCACTCCGTTTGCATCAGCCGCTGCTGCTGTTCTTTACGTCCAAGTACGCGAGCATTTATGTGTATCTTTGGATTATTTGAACGCACCGGCAAGGCTGGATCCTCTTCTGGTTCCGCCAGGTACAAAGTGTGGTTCTGAAAAGGTAAGAAAACATTTTGTGCTCATCTAAAATGTCAGATATACATTGTAAATGATAAGAAGGTTTTAGAAATATTTGCTCCTAAGTGTACTTGATATTTACAAACACTCTAAAAACATGCTAACATTACATTAAAGGCTGGGCATGGTGTAAGTGTTAGACATAGCCCAACCCCAAGAGAGGAAATGTAGCTTTTTAAAAGCACCGCTGTTTTTTAAGTAGTAGTATATTTTCCCTCCCTTTTGGGACATAAGGCCTATGGGCTGAGTGCTGCGATGGTAAAGGAATTCTGAACTGGACCTGCTGTGGTTTTTCCTAGGTGTGTATAAACAACACTTGTCACCCACGTTCAGTCCTGGGATATGACTGTGACAGCAAAGTGAAGTGCCACGGCCACGGCGTAAGTCACTCCACGCAGCGAGCGTGGTGCCGTGGAGGGCGGGTGGCTTTGTCCTGTGGTTGTCCTGTGGTTTGTATGGGAACTGGTCAAAAGACCCGGTTTAGGCTGATAGTCTACAAAATCATGACCTTGTCAGCTAATACACAGGTTAAAACCATTTAAACTGTTGCTCCTAAAACCGCTATCAAAATATAACGTCAGTTTTTATTCACCAAAATGGAGAATTTGATGGTTGGTTTGGTTTATGGAGGGGAGAAAAAAGAAAACAAAATTGAAGGAACAGAGAATTGAGGGCAGTGGAGCTGGTGTAGATCAAAAAACGTTGTGTGGTTGTAGGGAGCAGGAGAGCTGCACTGTGGTGCGT